AGCCGTCTCCCATCCTCCTCCATGGCTGTGGATGTACTTCCGTAAGAGCACCTACTGCAAATCGCTGGTTCCATGGAACACACTCTCTACGGCCAGGACATGCACCTTACTCTCCCCACAACAAGCTCAGCACCTAATCCTACAACTAGTACAGGTTTGCTCAACTAATGGTGACAAAGCAAAACTGGTACAAGAATCAGATTTGCAAGTGATTAAAGGTAAAGTTTGTAGTGAGGGGACAGAGATAGTGCAGAAGATATGTCCACATAAAAATGCAACAGTAAAAGGAAAGCTAACAAAGACACTTGAGAGGCAGAGTGGACTACTGCCTCTCAGAGGTAATAGGCCTCTTCCCACCCATCCTCCATTCCAGTGACAGGACTATTAACTGTGGGCTCAGAGAGTAAACTCTAGCATAGGCAGTCTGGAATCCAAAGGAGTCAAAAAATGTCACCAGCCATTTCAGTAAATGAAGTTGTTACTGCCATAAACTCATCAACCACTGTAGCCACCCCATGATGAACTCGGAAGGGAATTCAGGATGGAGGAAAAATAGGATACTAGTCCTAGATAACAGTTAAGATGAGTATCAAAGGAATGATTTCAATAAGCCCAGATTCTTGCATTCTCCTATACACAGAAATGCACTAAAACCTCTAACTTGAGATGTCTGGTTTTTGTGATTAGCAGTAATCTTTTGATGTTCTTGTTTTTTCTTGTTTCTTGTTTTTCATGTTTTTTAAGCAAAAAAACTCCTATATATCCTGGGTCCTCCCTTGCCTCTTTGAAACAGCCCCTCAAAGCTACCTGAGAGGCTGTCATCCCAGGCTATGGTCGGTCCTCAGTAAGCTCCTGAACAAAACATAATTCTCAACTTTCAGGTCATGCTTTTTTTTTCCAGCTGACCCAACCAACCACCTAAACAAAAACCTTTTGCCTGAACCATCTGAAGTGTTCCTGATAAGCCTTCCTTTTGGAGAACACTTTTCATCCCTCAGCTAAGTTTGAACACTGGAAATGCAAGAAACAAAACAGCATACTAAATATCTACATTCTGACTATAACAGACATTTCTATCAGTTTCTACAGCAACAGGAAGAGATGTTAATTCAATTCGCTGATTAATGAGGTGGCAGGATGTGGGGGTAGTGCTTCTGGAGGTAAGGCAGCTAAGGACCTTCTGCACACCAGACACACAGAACCTACCTCGACTGTGATCTCCATCGGCACCAGTGCAATACAGGCCATGAGCCAGATACCTCCTGCCATCACTGCCTGGATGTAACATCTGTGGTTCATTGTTAGAAATGATTAAGAAAATAAGTGCCATTTTGCAACAATGCTCCCATGCCATTAGGCTCTTTCACAGACCTCTGGCGATTATTTCATGCTAAACAAGGAAGCAAGCCTTATACTTAAAGCACTCAACAATGCTTTGAAAGTAAGCAGAAACCCACATGTCTAAAAAAAGGGGGTAGGGGGACAGTGCAAATCCCAGTCTACTAGAAGGCACACTTCTGTTTATGTATGTAAAACATTTCTATGATGTAATCAGGGGCCACATCTAGTTTAAATAGTTTTTCTTTTTGTCTCTTGCTAATTAATTGATGATAGAGGTTTTAACCAGGAAATTGTGTCAAAATAACTCTTCTGCTCTGAGTTACAAATTTAATAGCTATAGAGAAGTTTCATAGAAACCTTCAGTAACTGAGTGGGTTTTAAATTATTACACAACTCTCAGTAGTGACAAGTGCTGGGAGAAATATGTCAATAGGTTTAGCATTGTAAAACTAGAGGTAGAGCACCAGAGTCTTCTCTCCCATAGTTGGCGATTATAATTATTTCATAAGAGGTTATATACCATTAGCCTACTTCTGGTAAGCTCTAAAAAAACTTATTTTACAGTGACAAACTTTCCACTGGTATGCTAAACATCTCCTGATATAAAGCCACGGCAACCCACATTAAATTTGTATAACAACTCCAAATTGTTGAAACCTGGTATTTGTTGACTGACATAAAAAATATTGACTTGACCCCTATATACACTAAAGTATTAATATCAGTAGACTCTGAAGGGTGGAATTAAGGAAGAATAGACATATTTATTTTCTTAAATATATCTACACTGCTGACTTGATACAACCATCAGGTAAATACAGACTAGCAGAAGTTGGGTTTTTTTTCCCCCTAAAGTGAAATCTCCTGATGGCATGGTTAACAAAGCTCAGTCTTGCTTACTTTAATTTTCATTTGTGAAGGGTGAAAGGTTTTCACCCTTCTTTATTTACGACTGTCCATGTAAACAGTGACACCTCACCATAACAGGCAAAACTGTCTTCCTATGAAACAGATTGTGCTAATTTTATTATAACTTTATTACAAGTTTGCTCCTATGACTTATATTTGTATGTAATAAGAACTTGGGCTTCCCTGGTGGCTCAATGGTAAAGAATCCACTTGCCAAAGCAGGAGATCCAAGCTCAACCCCTGGTTCCGGAAGATCCCCTGGCAAAGCAAATGCTAACCCACTCGAGTATTCTTGCCTGGAGAATCCCATGGACAGAGAAGCCTGGTGGGCTACAGTTCACGGGGTCACAAGAGTCAGACACAACTTGGTGACTAAACAATCAGTATCAGTATACTGAGGAAACTGGGTCAAGCTGGAGAAGTAGAGGGATATGTGCTCATCTTCTCCTGCCTGAGCACCAAATCACAACTAGCTGTTGAACAACCACTGACAGGAAGACACCCCACATCCAAGGACAAAGGAGAAGACACAACTAATGGTAGGAGAGGTACAACCATGATACAATCAAATCCTGTATCTGCAGGTGGGCAACCCACAAGCTGGAGAACAATAAGACCAAAAAAGATTTCACACTGTTGTGAAGGTTCTAGGCCCCACACCAGGCTCTCCAGCTTGGCGATCCAGCCAAGAGACTGGGAATCCTCAGGGAATCTGACTTTGAAGGCCTGCAGGATTTGATTACAGGACCTCCACAGGACTGCAGGAAACAGGATTTACTACCACAGCCTGCTAAATAGTAGTATAATAACACTGACAGCTGGAGTGACCAGGTGGAAGGGCGTCAATCTACACAGATCTCGCAAGTCAGAAAACCTGGCTTTGAATCTTAATAAGCTGTGTGAGAAGTTAGGCAAATCAACCTGTGAGCTTCAGTCTTCTCTCCCATAAAAATGAACACTACTATTTGTCCCCTCCATATGGATGAATACCTAATAAATTATTCTCAAGTAAATGAAAGTATGGAGTATATAATACCTTCTATTCAATTTGTCTCTGGATATAAATGAGCAGTGCCTACAACAGCTAAGATATGGGAAGACAATAATTATCTGTCCACAGGTGAATGAAAAGCGATGATGTGATATGTATAGGTATACACACATGCATATAATATGGGATATTAGAGCCATGAGAAAGAAGGAAATCTTGTCATTTGCAACAGCACAGATGGAACTTGAAGGCATTAAGTGAAATAAGACAGAGAAATACTGTGTAACTTACATCTGATATATTTTAAAAAGGTGCACTCACAGAAACACTAAAATGTGGGGGAGACTGGGGAGATGTAAGTCAAGGGTACACTTCCAATTATAAAATAAGTAAGTTCCAGGTATCTAAGCATAGTGCTTGGAGTCAATAACACTGTATCTTTGAGATTAGACCCTAAATGTTCTCATCACAAAAAAGGCATGGTAATTGTGACATGCTGGAGGTGTTAGTTGTCTGGTGGTGATCATTTTGCTATATATAAATGTGTCAAACATGTTTTACCTTAAACTTACACATTGTTAAATGTCAATTATATCTCAATAGAGTTGAAAACAACAGAAAAATAAATACATGAGCAGTACCCAGAATGTGAACGAAAAACCACACCTAACTCCAAAAATTACTACTAAAGTTATTACAGAAGACTATATTAGAATATATTAGAGAAGAGTGTTAGTACATAAGCAAGAACTGTTAGGTTATTGAAACTGATTTGGCGTCCAGGAAACTGAGTCGGAGTCTGCCTGGTAATTTAATTGCCAGTCTTCCGGATGGGCTCTATCTGTCATCATTAGCTGACTGTGTTCTCTTTAGGGACCTGACTTGCCACTCCAACTGCTTTCCCCTTCCTCACTTCCTCCCACCCCTTTCAGTTAACTCTTAAATAGCTCTCCCTCAGCTCCGTGCACCACGTCTAAAGCATTTTTAACCAGAAATAGGGCACGCAGGGCTTCCCCCCGAGTTCCGGGGCCCCCTGGACAGGTAGGAAATGCCCAGCGGTCTACCCTGCCTCAGGGCTTCCTCCGCCGCATCACTTCCCCTGCCAGCGCCGCCGATAGAAAAAGGATCCCGGCCCACGCCCAGCGGACTCAAATCAGTCCCGGGCCGCCCCACCCAGCCCCAGCCCTCCGTCCCTGGGCCGCGCGTCTGCCTTCACCTAGAGATGGCTTCAGGCGGGTCACACCCCTGCTCTCCTTACCAGGGCGCGCTCCTTGAACCCCGCCCTCGGGCTGGCAGCCCGCGCTGGCTCCCCGGAATCCCCCGTGCCAGTTCGAGCCGGAGAAAAGGACCCAAACTTGTTGTCCTAAGTCAAGGCTTCCACGCGCGGGGGTCTCCCTGTATCTACGATGCCCGATCAGGGCCCTCGTCCCTCGCCCGTCCCGAAACTGACGCGGAGACTCGCGCCTCCTCGTCCTCTCCCGGGGCCGCCCGCTCGCCAGCCCGCCCGCCGCGAGCTGCGCCGGGAGGCGGCTGGAAGCGACCGCATTGCGGCCGCAGGCGGGCGGCGCGGGCTTCCTTCTCCCGGTCCCTCCGCCCCCGACCTGCCGAGGGTCCCAACACCCTCCCTCGCCGAGGGTGGGTGCGGCGCCCACGCGCAGTCCCCTAGTCCTTGCTGCGTGGGCTGAGGATTTCGGGGACGGGCGCCCGGCCCCGCGCCGCCCCCCTACCCACCCCGGCCCCAGGGAAACTCCTCGCTCACCGATATACCCATCCTCTTCGTCGTCCTCCTCCAGCTCCATTTCTAGCAGAACGTCCCTCGTCATCATGGGCATGTCTCCCCCCGCAGCTGGGAACTTGGCGCAAAGTTGGGGGCTCCGTGGAGTCCGGAACTTCGGCTCTCTAACGGGGCGGGCGCCCGGGCAGGGACGGCAGGGCGCCTCTCACTCCGGGCGCAGGGGCCGCTGTGCTCAGCCCGCGCTCGGGGAATCCGGACCCGAGTGGTGCGCCCAAGACAACCTCTGGCCGCCGGGCCGGGCCGGGCCACTGAGCATGCCCAGTGAGCGCCGAGAATCGCTGCGGAATGATTGAACCGCCGCGGCTTTATGAGCTCCCAGAAGGAAGTCAGGCGGAGAGAGGAGGGAGCTGGTGCTCGCGCGGTGCCCGCCAGTGAACTCGCCGAAGGGGGAGGCGAGAGCGTGAACTCCGAAAGAGGCAGCTCTCTGTTTCAAGTTCATATATGGGCACGTCCTGGGCCCGCTTTCTTTGATATCTGCTACGCGAGAGGGAAGAGACGCTGCTGCTGCAGCGAAAGACCCTTTAGGCGAGCGAGTCTGGATGGTGTTTAAAGGCGAAGTGGAGCCCATGGCGGATCTTAAAGTATCAATTCCTCTGACTCCAAGTGGGGAAACATGTGTTCTGTAGGGGAATGGGGAGGTGGCAATTACAGAGAAGAGGCCAAACTCGCAGATAAGAAACAACAGAAGAAAACAAGACCAAGAGAGCGAGATCCAAAAAAACACGTTCACAAGAGGCAGGATTTCCGCATCTAGTGAGGTTAGGTTAGGGACGGGAGAAGCGCCCCCTACTCCCGCCCGTAGGGGCGCATGCAGGGGGTGGTCAGAAATGATTGCCAAGAGGTCATCTTGAAAGCTTCATCCTCCGTGTCACAAGGGCAAAGGAAGCGAAGACCTCCATTATGGTTAGGTGTGAATTCTACTCTCAAGCAATGGTTAGGTGTGAACTGTACTCTTGAGCAGTGTGAAAAACCATCATAACCAGAGGAAACAAAGTACTGAAATAAAGTTGAGGCAGAGAGGATAAGAATGCATTCCTGGTAACAAGAGGGAGCAGTAAGACCAATACAAAGGGATTTCTGCTTTCAGACACATGGGGTAATTTGAACTGCGGGTTCCTGGGGTTGTACATCAGCAGAACTTTTTTCCAAAGAAGCTGGTGAGGTCCCATGGGTCCATTTTGACTTCTCCAAAGGGCTAGAAGGTGCATTTGAAATCCTTGTTATATTCATTGTTCCCCTAAAACTTACTGAAACTTTTTGTGTTTTTTCCACTTAAGTCCAAAATTGTTATGATAATGAGAATAAATATTCAGATGACACAAAATCTGTGCATTTCATTCTCCTATATACTTATTTCTCATATTTTCTTATGAAAGAAAGCATTGAGATTAACTGTCAGTGGGAGTGGGAAAGCAGCTATGAATATGCATTATAAGACATGAGGAAATTAGTTTTAAGAAAATATCCAGGAAACATATTTGCTTCTTAGGGAAACTTTTGGTGGAAAATTATTTTTAATATAAATAGAAACCAATACAGCATTTTAAAGATAGGAGACTGAAGGGGGGAAAATGAGGAGAAAAAATTATTTTCTTTTAGTAAACTTTGCCCTAGTGCTTAAAATATGGTTCCTACTAAAATAGAAATTCCAGAAGTATTTTGGTTACATGTGAATGTGATTAACATTCTTTGGATGCATCAGGTCTTAGTTGCAGCATTCAGTATCTTTAGCTGCTCCATGTGAACTCTTGGTTATGTTATGTGATATCTAGTTCCTTGACCATGAATCGAACCTGGGCCCCCAACATTGGAAGCATGGACTATGAATCAAACCTGGGCCCCTTGCATTGGGAACATGGAGTCTTAGCCACTGGACCACCAGGGAAGTCCCTCCCCACCAATTCTAAAGCTTTAAAATTCTCTCAACTCCCTGCTATAGTTCTTTCACCAAATAGTCTAGTTCTTTGTGCCTAGGATTTTGTTCAGTGTTAATCAGTAGTTAGAAAACTCTTGTGATTGATTTTCCATTAGGTTTCCCTGAATCATTTGAAATTCTTCGCAGATTTTGAAGTTTAAATTTTTCTTACCTGATAAACGTTGCAGAGACATTGCTAGACTTATATGTAAAGGTGACTGTTGCTAGAAGGGAAATGAATTACTTTGGTTAGCTGTAAATTTATTATTAGTAGTCCATTATTTCATTTAATCCATTTTATTTCCTATAGCTTCTTTCGTGCATTATTTTTTTCAACTGAGTAATATATGCTTCAAAAATAATCAGGTAACAGGCCTGGGTAAGAACCGCACCTTTGACTCTGAAAAATTATCATCTATATCATGAATAGTTTATGAAATAAATTTGTGGCCAGGTGATAAAACTGGCAAAGTTTTTCCAAGTCAGGGATCATAGACGAAGTATCTTCCCCTTCATTGGTCTTCTAATTAATTGCAAGCTTTGTCCGGCCACAGAATGGCCCATCTTTCTCTGCCCACGCCTTAAATGTTGGTACTTTTCTGGCTTCCATCCTCAGACCTCTTTTCTTCCCTACTTAACTCATTCAGTCTTATAACTGTATTATCTTTTCCAAGCAGGGCTAGTTTCATGGGCATACCAACAGTTCATTCACACACGGCCCGGCACGCAGAAGGGCTTAATATACTTGAAGTCTTGAGGTCTTAATGCTCTGTGGTTGCCAGCTTGAAGATCTTACTAACAGTATCTTTGGGTTTTTGTTTTGTAAGTGAAGTCCATTGACAGAGTGGAGCATGCCTCCTGCCACCTCTCTGCCTCTCAGGGATAGGTTTAGCTGCCAGCTCCTCTCATTTTCTGGAATTTCACTCCTATACACTCTCCCTCTCACCTCATCCAGGACCAGGGAGAGACTTGGGCAAGGGTGCAGGGAAGGTCAGGTTCATTTGTGTGCAGGGCATGGTGGCAGCTGTCCTGGATTGTCAGTGCCACAGTGCACCTAGGCGTGACTTGTTAGGAATGAGCCTCTGACCCATGTGCAAGTGCATCCTAGCCTGGAAATTGTAGTCTCTTGGAGGTGTACCTCTGATGTGGTTTAGAGATTAGAGGCCATAGGAAGGGACTCAGCTTCTCCACCCCCATCTAGAGCATTCAGTTCTGCAGATTTTTGGGAGGAGGACCAAGCAGCTCATGGTTCTCAAAGGCTCTTTGAGCAAGGGACCCTGAATTTGCATTTTGCACTGAGCCCTTCAAACTGTAGAGCTGGCCTTGATGTCAGGATATTTATTTCCAGCTCAGCTTTCTCTTCTGTGTTGCACATGGTGTATCTGCCTACTTGTTTGAACATCTTCACTTGGATATTTGTTAAGACATTTCAGATTCAGCAAGTTTAAAATTAAATTTATAACCTCTGCCCATATCTGTTTCCCTAAACTAAGAATGGCACCACTAGTTACACAAGGCAATAACTTGAGCCTCCCTTTGATTCCTTCCTCTCTCTCTTTTCCCTCCTATTCAATCAGTTGCTAAATCCCTGGCCTCCACCCTATTTTCAGGGGATCTCAAATACATCCCGTGTTTGTTGCCTATTGTTACATTGTTGCATAACCACACAGTTTGACATTTTAGCAAAGACTTGAAGGAAGTAAGAGATCAAGACATAAAACTGAGGGAGTTGAGTTTAAGGCAGAAGAGAAACCAAGAATAAAAGTTCCAAGTCAGTTCAGTTCAGTCACTCAGTCATGTCCAACTCTGCACGTCTGTGGACTGTAGCACACCAGGCTTCCCTGTCCATCACCAACTCCCAGAGTTTACTCAAACTCATGTCCATCGAGTTGGTGATGCCATCCAACCATCTCATCCTCGGTCATCCCCTTCTCCTCCTGCCTTCAATCTCCCAGCATCAAGGTCTTTTCCAATGATTCAGTTCTTCACATCAGGTGGCCAAAGTTATGGAGTTTCAGCTTCAGCGTCAGTCGTTCCAATGAATATTTAGGACCAATTTCCTTTAGGATTGACTGGTTGGATCTCCTTGCAGTCGAACGGACTCTCAAGAGTCTTCTATAACACCACAGTTCAAAAGCAATTCTTTGCTGCTCAGCGTTCTTTATAGTCCAACTGTCACATCCATACATGACTACTGGAAAAACCATAGGTTTGACTAGACAAACCTTTGTTGGCAAAGTAATGTCTTCACTTTTAATATGCTGCCTCAGTTTGTCATAGCTTTTCTTCCAAGGAGCAAGCGTCTTTTAATTTCATGGCTGCAGTCACTGTCTGCAGTGATTTTGGAGCCCAAGAAAATAAAGTCAGCTACTGTTTCCATTGTTTTCCTGTCTATTTGCCGTGAAGTGATGGGATTGGATGCCATGACCTTCGTTTTTTGAATGTTGAGTTTTAAGCCAGCTTTTTCACTCTCCTCTTTCACTTTCAAGAGGCTCTTTAGTTCTTCACCTTCTGCCATAAGAGTGGTGTTATCCGCATATTTGAGATTATTGATTTTTATCCCGGCAATCCTGATTCCAAGCTTGTAAAGTTCCATGGAGAACCACAAAGAGGTCATGGCAATGGGGCATAAAAGATTAGCCTCAAATGTAGTGACTTAGAGTGGGGTGGAAGCTATAACATCTTTTGTAAATCATGCATTATCATTTCTACTGTTGGTCATACAGGGCAGTCAGCTCTAATCATTGAGGGAGCTTATACAGAGGATGAAGACCAGAGGTGGGGATCTTCGGGAGCCATCTTGGAAGCTGGTTGCCACCCATCTCCATTGTCACTGTTCTGATACATACCACCATTCTCCATTCTTAGCTCCTGAGAACTGACTGTTTGTTGGTCACTTTCCTGGATGTTGGGGATTTAATAGAAAAAACAAAACAAAACAAAAAACAAAGACAGATGACATCACTGCCCTCATGACCTTCCATTCCAGTGGATGAAGACAAATAAGACAAATGTACTTATTTATTTGTCTCTTTCAGGAAGCAACAGTTGTAACCCTGTATGGAACAACTGATAGGTTCAGGTCTGAGAGAGGAGTATGACAAGGCTGTCTGCTGTCACCC